AGAGGGAGAGAGAGAGAGAGAAACATCGACGTGAAAGGGACACATCGAGTGGCTGCCACCCGCACGACCAACCAGGGCCGGGGACAAACTGCAACCGAAGTACGTGCCCTTAGCGGGAACCGAACCCGGGTCTCTTCAGACCGCAGGCCGACGCTCTAACCGCTGAGCCAAACCGGCCAGGGCCAGAAACCAAATTTTAAAATGCCATTACCTATAGGTGGACACCTATTCATTTTGACCATCCAGCATCTCCATTTCCTTTGAAAATCATCACATACGCACAGTCAGGATTCCAGCCCTGCAATTAATAAATCTCTCTCTCTCTCTCTCTCTCTCTCTCTCTCACACACACACACACACACACACACACACGGTTACAGGGCAGATTCTGTGGAACCCTGGACCAGCAAATCACTTAACCATGATGACTGCATGTGAGCCATGCCATGACTATCATGTTTCTTCCCTCCTAAACAATGAAAGGCCATCTGTAATAAGAGAGAAACAAGCTAAAAGAGAGAGTAGCAGAGCTCACTCCCTAGACTGCCCATACAAAAATACAGGTTTAGCCCTGGCCAGTTTGGCTCAGTGGTTGGAGCATCGGCCTGTGGTCCAGAGAGACCCGGGTTCGGTTCCCGCTGGGGGCACGTGCCTCGGTTGCGGTTTGTCCCTGGTTGGGTTGTGTGGGAGGCGGCCACTTGATGTGTCCCTTTCACATAGATGTTTCTCTCTCTCTCTCTCCCTCCCACTCTATCTGAACAAAAAGTGAAAAAAATGTCCTCGGGTGAGGATAAAAAAAAAAAAAAATACAGATTTACAACCTAACAAGATGAAATGACTTTGCAGTCAATAGATGGAACCAAATCTGGCTTAATTTCCACATGTGCACAAAAGTTTAGACTTCATTCAATCCTGCCATTTTACATATGATGAAACTAAATCCCAGAGAAAAGTAATGATCTTCACAAGATTTTTCATATAAAGCAAAGCTAGAATTACATTCCAGATTGTTTGAGTGACAGGGAAATGTTCTTTGATATTCATAAGAACTAGATTAAAGGGAGCTATCACTATTTTGCCTGTTTCAGTTAATAAAAAATCCTATGTTGAATAATTTCAGACAAAGAAATGGACACTTTAAAAAAATACTACTATCAACCATTCTGATACCTATAGTAAAATTATCCTATATTACATCAGAAAAATTCTTAAATGAATTCAAATTATTCCCCTTTGCTGGCCATTTTATCACTATCTAAATAACCATGTCCCTCAGAAAGAGTCACTGTCAAACAACTTTAGCAATAAAGGACATCATTCAAGGAAAATGACTGAACATAACCAGCAAATCTGGAGAACTCTCATAATTCAATTATAGTTCCAGCACGAGGCCATCATTTCTTAAAGTGTATTTCATGAAACACAAAAGAACCACAAGATGTTCAATAAATAAAAGATACTAAAATCAAATACATTTGGAAAAACCACATAAAATTAATATATAAACTAATATAAATAATAAATATAAAAAAATTAGTAATTTTGAAATATATTTTGGAAAATACTACCCTAATCCTTGGTCCCACCTTACCAAGTAAATAACATATCCTGATTTGTATTTATTAAAACCATATATCAGCAAAGCAAAATTTCCAGGTGCTTTCATTTCACTCGTTATCTCTATGTATAGATGAGAATGCTGAGGTTCAGAAATGTTAACTGACTTCCCAAAGTCACAGACCCAGAAACTATGGAATCAGGAATTGACCACAAGTCTATGGGTCTCAAAACTCTATGTTAGGCTGGTGTAGCATTATGTCTTCTAAACAGATTCTTTAGGACATCTTAAGGTATTCTAACACTAAATATCATACCGGTAGGAGCCTTAAAGTACAATCAGTTACTGGCTATCAAGGTTAACACTTATCAATGTTTTTTAAGAATAAGATGCTTAACCATTAAATGGATTTAAACATGAAAAAATCCAAATTGGACAAAATTTTAGAAGTCTAATACATTTACAGTAATTTACCACAACTGTTTGCTGGAAAATAAGATCAAGAGACCATAACACTTTAATTAGAGGGGAAAAAACCCTAAATTTAGTAATAGTAATGAGGAAAGAAACCTAAATTTCAGTCCATCAAATCAGATATTTAGTATGCTGAAAAGTATAAACAACAAATATGGTATATAAAAAATATGATACTTTATGATATAAAAACATATTTTTGTGCTTAAATGCATACAAATGCACTTAGTTTTGCCACTGAACTCAGCCATTAACATAAATTTCACTTTGGTAGGTTACTTACCACTAGCAGTAAACATTACTAACTGTTAGAAATAATTCATATTTTATAAATAAATACTTTTGATCACCTACATTTTTAGACTGCTATACTATGCAACAAACGCCATCCTACTTCTTAACACCTGCCATAGAAAAATTTTTCTTTATTTACACTTTTGTTTGAATTCTAATATTAAAAAACACTAAATAAAATTTGTCTTGTTTGTTTAAAAACAGTTTTAGCTGGTGACCCTCTTTTGCTAAAATAACAAACTCTATAAAAAGTTATCTATACCACTTCTAAAAGTTGGCTTTCAACAACAGAAGTTTTCAGTAAAAAAACAGGATCAAGATTAAATAGAAAATCACCATTTGGCAACCATCACAATAATAATTTAGCCAAGAAACATCATCAGATGCTAAAATCAGTGGGTCAAGTGTGATGAGGGACAGTATGTTTCTAGTCCCAAAGTAGTCCTTCAAGTCAAAGTACTTACTGATTATAAATACCAATCAAAAACACTTATTAATTTCAAAGGGACAAAGAATAATGTTATAATGGAGAGACCTAGCAGACAGAAGCCTAATCAAAAGATCACACCAATAGGGACAAATTAAACACAAGTTCCACTTGAAAGGATACAAAAAGAACACATCAATCCCTTTAGGATATTCCTATCTAAAAGGTGCAACCTGAATCCAATCATGAAGAAACATCAGACAAAATCATACTGAGGTACATTCTATACAATAACTGACCTACATAATATTCAAAATTTGTCAGTTATGAAAGTCAAGAAAAGGCTCAAAAACTGTTCCAGATTAAAGATCAAAGAAACATGACACTAAATCTAATTTACATATAAATAATATGATAAAAGGCAAACTTTGATGATACAGCAAAATGTCCCTGGTGTGTTAAGAAACAGACACAGATATATTCGAGGGGTAAATAGACAGTAATTTGACAATATTCTCTCAAATGGTTCACAAATATTTTTGTACTATTCTCAACAAAAAATTAGATAAACTTAAAACTGAAAAACTAATATTAAGTATTTTTACCATCTTCAATACTAGTTTTTGTTTGCTCTGGATTTAACAGATTTCTAAACTAATCATCTACTTTTTTTTTTTTTCTGGATTCCTAGGTTTCAGTTTGCTTGGGAGAGCCTAAGATTTATGATTTACAAGAATTCTGAGGAGTACTACCAAGATTAAGGACCTAAGCACTAATAGAAGAAAGAAAAAAATTGTATTCAGGAAAAATAGAACCTACTACCATAAGTTATCTTCTGGATACATGTAAAAATAGATGTGTAACAAATTTAAAATATGTGCTTTTCCAGAAAGATGCCTGCTACCACAAAGCAGTGGCTTCAAGAATTGTTATTTTTACCAAAAAACAGACAAGTTTAGAAACCCATACTGCCACAGATAGATAAAATAAGTTTAAAATTTTGCTGTTTCTTTAATTTCTACATTGCAATATTTCAGAATGTACTAATTTTTTTAAAAGTGGGCATTCCTATTTTAAAGAAAGCAATGAAACATTGCACTATCTACAAGGATATTCTTCAATATACTACCATATAAAAAATAGTTTCTTTAATATGATTTCCCTGGATTTGCTGGGTAAGAATTTCTTAGGGTGATTTTGGAGAATACAGATAATAAAGACATACAAATTCCTGGGCTCCACCTCAAAGAAGGCCTTCATAATTTTATTTTAATAAATGCCACAATAAAACCTTCTTTTAAGGTTCTGTAAATACCATTTGCGAAGAAAAAGTTAACATAACAGGCCTGAGACTGTTATCTCTACAAATGTTAGCTTTTGAGGTTAGCTCTTGGTTGGCATCTGGTAACCTGGCTTTTGAGGTGGCTCCCACCATTCCCAGACTGAAGGGTGGCACACTGTGCCTCAGTTGTCTGCACAAATACGTTGATTTCTGATGAATCCCTGCTTTCCTTGTGGGAGTCTGAAATTTTGGTATGTGCTAAGCAGAAGGTACCTATGGACTGACTCCAATAAAAATTCTGGACAACTGAACTCAGGTAAGCCTCACTGATAGAAAGTATTTCAGTCACGTGGTAATAACTTACTGCTAGAGGAAGTAAGCGTGTGTTGTGACCCCACTGGAAGAAGACTCTTGGGAACTTGCGGATAGTTCCCTTCAGATTTCACTCCAATGTCTTTTCTGTTCACCGATTTTGCTTTGCATCATTTTGCTGAATCCCCTTGCGTTTTCCTAGTGAATCATCAAACCTAGGGTAATCTTGGGGTACCTTGACACTACTTTAATATATGAAATTCCTTCTGCAGAGTTCCAAGTATCTCAATAAACTGGTGTATATAGATTAACAACTTGCAAATTGATAACTCTGAGATGACAAAAACTTAAAAAGTCCTATATTACAAAAGTATTTACTTTTTGAACTACTAATGAAACAATATTCAAAAGATAGTTTAACATTCATTTTCTCAAAGTTCAAATGAACTATTTAAACTGTAAATATAGTTAATTTGACATTTTATTACATGGTTGTTACATATTATTTCAATATGTTTAATTATTTTTAATTCCATCAAAATTAGACCCATCCTTTTCCTAAGAAAAAAAAAGAAAACCAATTCAAATGCATACACAAAACAGTCTACTGTCCATCACAATTTAGGTAGTGTTTAAAAGTGATATATTCTTACCATGTGGAGTGATTGTCTGTATAGGTTTAGCAGGGGACCTCACATTCCATATAGTCAAGGTGCCATCTGAATGACTACAAATAAATTGTTTTCCTTCATGATGCCAAGCCACAGAGTGGATAGCCTATAGAAAAAGGGTGAATAATTTCATTAAAAGAAATTTTTATTTAAATACCAAACTATTCATAATTAGTTTTGTAATTAATTTTCATTTAAAAAGTTTTGTATTTCTGAAACTGAAGATAATTTTATATTTCTGAAACTGAAACAATCAATACAAAGACATGGCACCTTTTACCTTAAAAACAAACAAATAAGCAAAACCATTTCCACATTTCCTAGCTCTATTCACTAAACTGGAAATCATGAATACTCCTAGTATCCAAATTATGGTCAGCAGATAAAATTACACAATGAAAGAAGTTATACTTTCATAGAAGAACATCTTATTCTAAGTTTGGAACAGAAATATACAAGATTAATGGGTATACTTTGTTATAACAGATAGTAAGGATGCAATCCAAGACTATTATCACCAAAGAACTCAGAAACCAAGTAAAGGAGGTTCCTTGTCCAAAGATGAAGCAATTTGAAAATCAATACCAATAACTTCAGTATATTGAAGCACACCAAATAGTTTTAAATCTTTGAGTACAAACTAAAACTAAAAATAGGAACAAATTGATATCCACTGTGATTACTGAAAAACAGCTCCTTTAGAACAAATATTGAAAAAAAAGGGAAAGAATAAAGCATTTCTCCTACCTTTCCTATATGAACTGTACTACTCTGTGACTAAATAGTAGATAAGAAGAAATCTCTCTTTACTACAGTGTCCTAACTAATACAAATAGAGAAGGAAGTATAGCTTTAGAACATTCTCATTTTGCAACCACTTTGCAGTAATAGATCAAGGTCTTGAATGTCACTGACTGCTAATATCACACATACTAACATTCCACCTGATACAAGAGCATTATCTATGAAATAATCTCGCTAAAAGTGAAAAATGAACCTGAATTTGATCAAGCCTCAGTAAAAGATCCAATTTATAGAAAATATGAAGGTTAAAAAAAAAAAGTTAAACACAATAGAAATGCAGCCAGAAAAATCCATTTTTGGGGAGACTAATTTTCAACAAATAAATGGCAAAAAAAAAGAAGAAATGAGCTCAGGAAGTAAAAAGAGAGGAGAGGTCTACAGTTTAAAAGAGACAAATGATTTATCAATCAATCATAATCTATCTATAATTGGGTCTTACAACAAACAAACTACAAATATCTACAGCATTATTATGGTCATTAGCATTAGATAAAAAATACAATGTTTATTAATTTGCTTATAAGCATACAGGATACTCTCTGCAAAAATACATGAAAAATTGGTAACTGGTACCTGGGTTAAGAGAATTGGATGGTCAAATGACAGGGCTGGAAAAGATATTTTTTTGTATCTTTTGAGGTATGTGACTTACATTATCTATTATAGAAAATAATTTTGTGTGTTTTGTTTTTTATTGCAGTTACAAAGGTGCCTAAACTAAAATCACCCCCAATTAATTTATTAGAAAAGCTGCTCAGAACTAGAGAAATGGTATCACTTTTTTGTTGTTGTTAATCCTCACCCAAGGATTTTTTCCACTGATTCTTAGAGAGAGAGAAAGGGAGGAAGGAGAAGGGAGACAGAGGGAGAGGGAGGGGGTGGGAGAGAAAGAGAGAAAGAGACATCCATGTAAGAGAGACACATTGATTGGTTGCCTCCTGCAAGTGCCCCAAACACTGAGCTGGGGACTGAACCTGCAACTCAGGTACATGCCCTTGACTAGGAATCGAACCTCAGCAATTTGGTACATGGGCTGACGCTCCAACCACTGAACCACACCAACCAGGGCATGACAACGTCTTTCTGTTTGTGTTTTTTTTTGTTGTTCTTAATCTTCATCTGAGAATATTTTTGCATTGATTTTCAGAGACAGTGGAAGAGAGGGAGGAAGGGAAGGAGAGATAAACACTGATGTGAGAGAAACACATCGATTTGTTGCCTCCCACATGACCCCAATGGGGGCTGAGGATCAAACCTGCAACCCAGGTATGTGCCCTTGACCGGAAATCAAACCCATGGCCCTCTGTTCCCAGGGCCGATACTCTAACAGCTGAGCAAAACCAACAACGGTAACAATATCTTTTGATTAGCAAAATAATATTCTTACCTCATCATATGTGTATCTGTAGTCACCTTTCTTTGATTTTAGGTCCCATAATACTACTGTTCCAGATTCATAGCCAATCAAAAGCTGTAACAAAAGAAAATGCCACATTACCTAGGAATGATATTAATCATATAAAGCATTTCATTTCTAACAACAAAGATAACTATTATCATTAATATGCTTCCAATATAAAATTGTAATACAAAGATTTGCATTGCTAATTATTAATCACATTTATGAGAAATGAGAATACCACACTGCCTTTGATTAGGGACTCAACATATACAAGTTTTTTGAAAAAGAAACCTACCATTTTGAAGTGCTCAGTGTACACTTTTAATAATATATAATAAATTAGCAATACAAATTAGCATTTGTATGTGCTTTAGAGTTCAAACTTTCCTAATTCAACACATTATCAGGTAATCTCACTTATTCATTTATATATTAATTAGTTCCGAATTATGTCCAGCCTAGATTCCTCTTGAGATTTAGACTCATAATTCCAGTGGCCACATCTCCACTTATCTACTCAAGAACTTCAAAGTAAATGTGTCCAAAAGTGAATCATTATTTTCCTCCTTACCCTTCTTTAGTATTCTCTGTTGCAGTGTCTCTCTCACCATTCTTTATCTCAACATTCATTAGGTTGCTCAGGCAAAAACCTGGGGGTCATCTTAACTCTGGTTTCTCCTCCTATCAGGTAAAATCAAGTAATTTTAAAATTACATTCTATCACCCAGCCAGTGTGGCTCAGTGGTTGAGCATCGACCCATGCACCAAGAGGTAGCCGGTTCGATTCCCAGTCAGGGCACATGCCCAGGTTGTGGGCCCCATCCCCAGTGAGGGGCATGCAGGAGGCGGCCAGTTGATGTTCTCTCTCATCGGTGTTTCTATCTCTCTCTCCCTCTCCATTCCTCTCTCTCTCAAATCAAGAAAGAAAAAAAAATAAAATAAAATTACATTCTGTCATCTCTCTAATTTACTTTCCTCCACCTCCAATACCTTGCTCTTGGTTGAAGACAACGATCTCTGGGGTGTGATCACTTTATAAGGTACAAAAATGTCTAATCACTATGTTGTACACCTGAAACTAAACAAATATAATACTGAATGTCAACTATAACTTGAAAAAAAGACACAAAAATCTCTTTTCTAGTCTCTACTCGCCCCCAATGCCAAGTCTTGCTCCTTTTTTAACCCCTTCCATATTGTAGCTGCAATAATAGTTCTAAAATGCAAACCTGATCATGTACTGTATGCTTTTATTAAAAACATTTTTTAGGATAAAGTTCAAACTCAATAATATTATTTATAGGATATGTCATGGTCTGTCCTCTGCTTACCTCTCCGGCTTCATCTATTACCACACATTTCGTACCCAATATACTCTAGTATATCTCTTAATTCAGGCTCTCTCTTTCCTTGGAGACTTTGCACATGCTGTCTTCCTACTGGGCCACTCTATTCGAATGTCATGTTCTGCCTGACTAATCCTACTAATTCTTCAGATGTCCTTTTAGCTATCAATTCTTCTGTGAAGTGAAGCCAAGTATAAGTCAATGCTTTCCTATGTGCTCCAATAATACTCTGTACTGTTTTTAATCTGAAGGGTCACTACACAATACAATAATGGCCTTTGCTGTGTCTTAATTCTCTTTTAGACAATAACACTGGTCTATTTAAACAAGGATTGGTTTTATCTTATTCACCACTGTACTTCTAACATAAGACACAGGGACTGATCTGTTGTTGGTAATAAATCTTTGTGAATGAGTAAATTTCAGAATGGAATGCATGTTCTTGCCTTATAAACCATCCACTGCTTATCCAACCTCTGCTGTCCTCCTTCCCCGACCCTAGCATTTTCCAAATCTCAGTATTCCCTCCGCTTGATCCTCCTTTCCTTTTATTTACTAAGCAATGTTTTATTCATTTTAAAGTCTTAATTTAGTGTTGCTTCCTTGGGTAAGCCTACCCAATTCCTCTAGAAAAAAAAAAGATGCTCCTCCTATGCCAGTACATGAATTTTCATCTACATGCCTCTAATAGCCACCTAATACATATTAGACACTCAACAATTTGTTTAATGAATACATAAGTAATCAGTAGGCAGTTAATAATCATTCATGTAACCTGAGATATGAATAAAGTTTGGGGCAGACCCAGTAATTTTAATGAAATAGAATTTAGTAGATTTCAGACTACAGTGCATTTGAAGGAGCCAGTCATTTCCCAAACTCCTCTTTCCTAGGCAATCTTACACATACACACCTTCTGGGGAAAACTGGTATTTATTTCCTTTACCTTTTACTAATCCTTCCAAATATCTTGGATATGTAATTATGTCATTTTCTAATGGGAGAACAGAAGAACTTCAAAAATAAAAAGAGATGAAAAAAGATAAAAATTGAAGAATTGATGTACAGTGTAAAGAGCATTGGATTGTTCAGGTCACAGATAACCTAAGATCTTACCTTAGATCTGCCACTTGGTAGCCACGTAACTTTACAGAAAAAATTTTACTTCTCCAGATCTTAATAACATAAAAGGGCTGCAGTAAACTTTAACCCTTCAAGTTAAATCTAATATCCTAAGATGTAAGAAATCTGTGCCAACTGATTAGACTTTAATTCCCATAACCTCCTAAATATTAAAAATAGAAGACCTAACTTAAAAATACAGTACTTAAACTTGGAAGATTCTTTCAATGCTTATTCCCACTAGAATATTTTATAACTCAGAGATGTTAAGTAATGTATGTAGTACTGACTAGTTTCCTTTTCATTATTCTCTCATAAAAAACATCAGTGGGTACACTGAATATACATACAACTCTCTACAACTGATCTATATATTTTACAGAGTAAATGCAGTATAATGGAGGGAGTTCTGGGGTTGAAATCAGAGAAATCAGTGTTCAAAATCCCAGGTCCACAAATACCTAACTTTGTACTACTTAACCACATAACACCACCAGGTCTCTGCCTCATCATCTGCAAAATAGTAATGATATCTCACTTATATTTGTTGTAAAAATCAAATGGAATAGTTTATATAATGTAGTCAGCACAGTGCCTAATATAAAGTAGAATTCAATAAATAGAAGCCAATATAATCTATTCAAGCATGTTAATATTTCAAATATGTTTCAATGAGATTAACTCTGGGAACTAAGGAGAATAATATAATGCAGGTTTCAAAAAATGGGGATGATATAAACTATCATACAAAATTTATTTATGCAATGAATTAAGTATATACTGAGCAGTTACTATTTACATTGTACGTTGAGTACTATGGGAAATATAAACTTGCATAAATATTATCTCTGTGTTCACAGAACTTTTTTAAAGTTGACCTATACACACATTTCTCATACAAGGCAATATGTGGTAAATACTGTAAAGTTTACACAAATAAGGTGCTAGTGAATTTGGAAGTGGGAGAAAGCATTTTCTATCAGAATTGTCAGAAGAAAATATTACAAAAATATATTTAATCTGAGCCTTAAAATTGGGGTAGGAATTTATCAGAGATAGAATATCATCAAATAAGACTACCTGAAAGAATTCCAAACCCAGGGATTTACATAAACAAGACATGGAGGCCGCAAAGAACAGCTCACATTTGGGAAACAATAATAATTTGCGCCAGTATAGCATTTGGGTGAAGATGTTCAGAAAGAGCCCAACACTACCTTTAAGGAAACTTTGTTAGATACAGCAGAACCACTGAAAACGTTTGAACAGGAGAGAAGTGAGATTAAAATGGCACTCTAGGAAGACTGATCTGGAAATGATTCAAGAATGGATTGAAATGCCTTTAACTACCTTGGCCCCAAATGAGATGGAATAGAAGAGAGACACTACAAAGGAAGGATTTAAATGGCTTAGTGATCAATTCAAGGCAGAAGGAAGGAAATTTTTCAATTCTCCCATCATGTCTCTCACCCAAAGACTTGCCTTTAAACACGTGTCATGAACCAAAGAAAATAAAGTGAATATACAGCTTACTAAAACTTGCTTCATGTAGTTTCTCTCAAAACATACAATTTTATAATTATAAATTAACTACAAACAGTACAGCCAACCTTTGGTTTTCCCAGTGGCAAAAAAGAGAACAGTGTCATACAACCTGTAGACTGGTCACTCCCACTACTTAGGGAAAGGAAAAGCCTGGGTAAATTTCACAAAATTCACAAGTTTCATTTCACTGATTTCTGATAGTGATAAATTTCCTGGTATTTACACAGGCTAATATCATAAAATTATCTACATAGACATTCTATCTTTAAATAGAATTACCTAAAAGATTGGTTGAATTAAGAAATAAAAATTTATGGAAAAGGAAGTTTTATTATTTTTAAATATATTTAACAAGACTAAATTAACAAAGCTAGATACTAACTGCATAAAACTGGTTTCTGAGTATAAAAGAATTAAGTAACATTTAAAAATTTTTGTATATTATTAATCCAAGCTATTTATAAAGAAAAATTTAGGGAAGATAAGATGTAAAGACAACTTAACATATGATTTTATAATTAACTGCTATAAAAACTGTATAATTCAAGTGCTAAAAAGAATTCAAAATCTAAAGAAAACAGTTTTTGTGAGGATTATGAGAAAATTTCAGAAAATATTTTGAATAAGCCAAAAATAAATAACCTTTGTTTCTGTTAAACTTAACTTGTTTTAGGGTTTTTGTTGTTGTTATTACTGTTGTTCTTTAAAATTGTAAATGATTCTAATTCTTTCACTTGTTTCACATAAGGTATAAAAAGCAATGCAACCTTTGTTACTAATCTGAACTTCTCAAGGTACGCCTTGAATAATTTGCACATTTAAAAAAAATGCCAAAATTTATACATTTAGGTAATAAAAACATTTTTTAGAAAAAATTCTACCTTTCCTTCATCCATTGGATTATCACTTATATGGACAACAGGTCCTGGATGAGATTTAGATGACCTAAAAAAAGAAAAAGTTAGTAAGATTCCTTTTTTGTCAGCTAAAATTTTCAACACAATTATGTATTCATCACAATCAGAACAATGAATGAAAAAATAAAGATATATTTATAAAGGATGTAAACATTTCAATAAGTGATCACTAACAGATATTTAGCTCTTAATAGAAATCAGAGGAAATATAGTGACAAGTTGATACAAGTAAGCAAAATTTACTATTAAGTACACTTTGTGTATAGAGAAGAATCTTCAATTTAGTATTTTAGCACAGAAAATCTATTCTCATGGTAGAATTCTCAGTTAGTATTTTTAAATAAAGCAGCATCTAAAAATATTGCTTATTTTACTTAATTCTAGCCTCCAATTAGGGCATCTCATCCAGTTCCATAGTTCACACTAAAAACAGGAAAAATTCATTTTTTAAATCAACAAAAGTAATGTCACCTATACTTGCTCAGAAAAAAGAAGTCATGCAGATAAGAATATAGTTGAACTGAGGCCTATACTGCATGGATAAGCTCCTCTCTGTTCATAAACTCAGGTTTGAAAGACCAGTTCACTTCATGAGAGCCATCTGTGAAACCACACAGACACCTACACCAGACTTACCCACTAGATGCTGGGATCAATGCAAACAGCAGGCCACAAAAACCCACACCTTGTATCAAGGGACTGACATATGATCATAATGATCCTACCACAGGAATGAAAACCAGGCTTAATATACTATTATACCTGCACAAACACACTACTTAAGAAATATGCCACAAATTTATCATTATGTCAAAGTGATACAAAAATCAGTGGAGTGCAAAAATTCAGATTTGTTTAAAAACAAAGACAAACAATGAAAATGAATCTTGCCGATATCCTTAAATTTTGATTTTATGTCTGAATTATATAAGAAAAAACTTAATAAGATTCTAAGAGTGAAAAGTTAGCACTAAAAGTTAGAATTCTTAAGGCCCTTTAGCTCACCCAGTTTTTGTTGTTGTTATTGGAAAATGAAAACGATCATTATATCAAAATTAAGAAAAATTAACTGTCAAATTAATTTTGCAATGTTACATGGCAAACATTTACATTTGTTAATTATTAAAACATATCAAGTAGTAGTTTAGATCAATGTTTTACAGACATTGGTGGCAACCCATTAGTGAGTCATAAAATCAACTTAGTGGGCCATGACAAGCATTTGAAATAAAAAGAAAAAAAGATAAAAGGAAGTGTTTTTCTCCTAATAAGAATAATGTTTTCATTAAACTTGTGCTACAGTTGATACTTATGTGAACACAAGCATATGTGTGTGTGTGTGTGTGTGTGAGTGTATGGTGGGCAAAAGTAGCATTACAGGTGTTTGTATGGAAAATAATACAATAATTAATAAATGATAAGTATAAACTCTATTTCATGTAATCACAACTGTAACCCTACTTTTGCCTAACCCTGTATATAAAGCATTTAAATGTACAAACTGCCAACAGGACAATACCTACAAAAGACTAATCTATATTTAATATCAAGAATGTCTGACAGATATAAAATTCAATATGAATTTAATGATTAGCTATTATCGAATATTATCATATATGGTACTGATACTTAAGATACACAGTATTTGTTCAAACTCACAGTTCAATGGCTTTATTCCACATAATGACGTAGCCTGAGAGTGAGAAGGACTCCACATTGACAATATGTATATTACCTCGTTCAGTGCCCACATAGAGCCACTTACTCTGGAAAGGCAAATGGCAAAATGTAATCCTGCAAGAGAACATATATTTTTAAAAAATGTTTTTAAATGTATGATATATTCTATTAACTGTAGTAGAGGGTTAATCATGACGTATGTAACTAACGAAAAACGAAAATGATACACAATCATCAGATTTACCTACTCGTTGTGATTACTACCTAATTATGCTAATTAAACTTATGCATATTCAAACATAAGGCTTTACAGTAAATAGACAGCAAGGCATGATAGAAAGGAGATAAGTTTTGAAGTTAGAGCAGTTATCCATCAGTATCCTTGGGGAATCCTGCAACCTTTTCCCTGAGCAAAAGCTATGGATGCTCAAGTCCCTTATACAAAATGGCATATTTGAGGATAACCTACACAATTCTCTTGTATATTTTAAATCATCTCTATATTTCTTCTAATAATTAATACTATGTAAATGTTATGTAAATGGTTTTATACTGTATTGTTCAGAAAATAATTACAAGAAAAAAGTCTGTACACGTTCAGTACTGATGCAACAACCACTGCAGGCCTTTTTCTTCCCTGAATATTTCTGATGTGCAGTTGGCTGAATCTGCAGATGTAAAATCCGTGGATACAGAATCCATGGATGTAGGGCCAACTTATATGTTTCAAATTTGACCATGTCATCCACTAACTGTGTAACTTTAGGAACATCACAACTTAACATTTAAGCAACAAACTGAGTTCAATACTGCATCACCCCCATGTGCTACTATATTTCTCAGAAGTTATTAAACACTAATCTCTCTCAGGATCCATGCATACTATTCCTTCCAGGCAAAATGGTCTTCCCATATTTTTCTTTTGTTCAATAAGCAGTTCAAATACCACCTTCATTCAATCTGATATAGTACCAATATTTTTGTATTTCTATCAGGTTTGCCTTGTAAGAAGAGTTAGGGTCTATTCTCTTCACTAACTTGTAAGCCTCTGGAAGGGCAGAGATCCTCTGTACTCAGGCTTAGACAATGCAACTGGAATATAACAACTATCTCCTCCTGCATCCTGATGATATGAGAGGTCTTCATTGACAAATTATAATAATTTACACGTATGTATTACATTTTATTATCATTCCAACAATTTCAAACTTTTTCTGTATGAGCTCATTTGATTTCAAAGCAAACAATGGAAACAATCTAGTCTTTTTAGTAGCACTTATTAGGGAAAAAAAAAAGGTAACATGTTATGAAACCATATAATGCTCATCCTTTCAAATTCTAATTGTGTTTTTCAAAATAGACTAAATTTCAATGGAATAGCACTTAGAATAATAAACTGATAATCACTGCTAGACTGTCAATACTCACACTAGGTATTAGGCAAGATACAGCATACAGAACATTTGCTATTCCATTAACACACAATTTCATTACTGAGAATTGTCTAGATGAAAGCATTTATCAAATAAATGTACATGCAACTCATTATCTCACTATTTTCTATAGGTATGCTCATTGAGACTAATCCTTAAGGTTCACTGTCTGTATTTTCTGTTGAATGTTTTATAAGATAACATGTCACCTTTCTAAATGATTTATGTGTATTTAACAGCACAGAAAAGTCTACTGACCCAAAACATCATTTTATAGTACGTTATTACTTCACAAGGCCTAAGTTCATAGTACCATTCTGAAAGCTTTAGGGTCACTTAGGTTTCAGAATTCAGAGTTTTCTAGATTTTAGAAAGGTACATAATCCATGTTTTACATATTAATTAATATGGGAGTAGCATTTTATAAACACAATGTTTTTGAGAGATTTTAGGCAGTTTAGTTTTTAATTGACATACTTGCCATATAACATTATATTAATTTCATTTTTTTATTTATTATTTTTTTAATCCTCACCCGAGGACATTTTTCCATTTTTTGTTCAGATAGAGTGTGAGAGGGAGAGAGAAGAATAGAGAGGGATAGAGAGAGAGAGAAACATCGACGTGAAAGAGACACATCGAGTGGCTGCCTCCTGCATGCACGACCAACCAGGGCCAGGGACAAACTGCAACTGAGGTACCGTGCCCTTGGCAGGAACCGAACCCGGGTCTCTCTGGACCGCAGGCCAATGCTCTAACCGCTGAGCCAAACCGGCCAGGGCAACATTATATTAGTTTTAGATGTACAACATAATGATTCTATGTATGGGTATATTGTGAAAAGATCACTATAATAAGTCTAGCTAATATCTATCACCACATATAAAGTTAGAATGGGATGAGTACTTTGAAGATCTATTCTCTTACCAACTTTCAAATATGTATAACAGTATCATTAATTACAGTCACTGACAGTAAAAAAATCAAACATACATCCACCATATGCTAGGCCCACTCCATTCATATGTATTTACCCAAAGAAAGAAAAGCATATGCCTATAACAAGACACGTATACAAATGATCATAGCAGCTTTGTAATAGCCAAAAACTGGAAACAACCCCAATATCCATCAACAAGTAAATGAATGAACAAATTGTGTTATATACTTAGAATACTAATGAGAGGTAAAACAAACAAACAAGCAAACAAAAACTAATGATACATGAAACAACAGTGATGAATCTCAAAATTCTTACAATAAAAGCAGCCAGAAAAACAAGGGCATATTGTTATGATTCCATTTATATACAATTTATGTAAAATAGAAAATGGTTTCCTGGAGATTACAAAGGTACAGGGGTACAGAGGTAGAGACTAGTAATAGAGAGAGAAGGGATTAACCACAAGGAAAACATTCTCAGGTGATGGGTAGGTTCCTTATCTTGATTGTGGTGACAGTTTCATGCCATACACATCTACGTTAAAACATCAAATTGTACATTTCAAATACGTACAATTTATTATTTGCCCATTATATCTCAATAAGTCTGTTTTAAAATTTTTTGTTTTCAGAGATTTGTGGATTGGGGAATTATGAAAACAGATGGTCATTCTGATTAATATATAATAGCAAGCGCTGGAGTTAGACTGCCTGAATTTAACCTCCAGCTCTGCCACTCACCAGCATATGACCTTAGTCAACCTCTCAGAGGCTCAGTTTCTAAGCACTAAAGCACACCTGTCTCACTCACAGTGTTCACCTGAGGATCAAATAAGACAAAGCCTAGTATATGGTTAAAATGAAGCCTACACAGTTACATGTTCAATTAGCTAATTACTATTAAAACAAAATGATATTATACCAATTAAAAGTTATAGGTAAATTTAAACTAGATGAAGTAAATAAAGTAGTAGAGAAAACAGAACATTTGTGTCCAGGTGGTGAATGTAAATTGGTACAGCCACTGAAACAGTGTAGACGTGCCTCAAAAAATGTAAACTAGAACTACTACATGATCCAGCAATTCCATTTCTTGGTAATTATCCGAAGGAAATGAAAATACTGACCTGAAAGATATATGCATTCCCATGTTCACTGTAGCATTATTTACAATAGCCAAGACATGGAAACAACCTAAGTGTCCATCAATGAATAAATGGATTAAGAAAGCATTTTGTGTGTGTGTGTGTGTGTATAATATTCCATTGTAATATTCCAATGAAATCTTGCCATTTGAGACAACCTCGAGGGCATTATGCTACGTGAAATAAATCAGACAGAGAAAGACAAATATTGTATGATCTCTCTTATATGCAGAATCTAAAAATATAAAAATTAAAATAAAATAAAAGCAATAGCATGCCAAATATAAGAAAAAACAATGCAATAAACATCTAAAAGCAACAATTTCATTTGAAATGTGCCTTAACTAAAACATGAATATAGCTAAACATTTTTGAAATTCAAAAAAAATGGTTAAACAACCAGTTGACAAAAAACAAACAAAAAGACCCAGAATATCCAGTTTCGTGCTCTGTTCCACTGTATGCAGTCCTCCATTATTCCTCACTCTACAAAAGCAGTAGCTTCCAACTTGCTTAATAGCATTACATGACCCATTCTTGATTTTTAATACTAACAAAATTATTTAAATATATAATATGCTTACAAAATCTGAACTTACCTACTTACAGGCAGAGATTTTAGATACATATCATACAACATTTTCTATTCCTAGTACAGTAACAGCACACAGCAGTTATTTCTCAAATATTCAAAGCAGCAAAGTAAGAATAAAATCTTCACTGTTCAGAAAAAATTCTGGAATATTTTCCTAGACTTGTTTCTCAACATTAGCCTCCATGCTAAGATTTCTTTTTTCCTGAGTCAACGACAAAACAAAGGTATATTTCTGGGAAATATTAAGCATCTTTACATTTTTCAGAAGTGAGAACAAACTATTTAATAATGAACACTTTAAGAAGAAACTTAGTAAGTTCACTTAAGCACCAAGACTTTAATATTGTCTCTCGAATAAGTCTTGTTCACTTCTTTAAAAAATACAATCAGACTTCCGGTCAAGATGGCAGCGTAGGTAAACGCAGTATCGCGTCCTCCCACAATCACATCAAAGTTACAACTAAACTACAGAACAACTGTCATTCAAAACTACCAGAAATCAGGCTGAATGGAAGTCCTACAACTACGTAATTAAAGCAGCAGCCACATCCAGACTGGTAGGAGGGGTGGAGGTGCGAGAGCCCACGGTGGCCAGACGGGCTGGTCCCACACCCACGTGTGGCGGATAAAAATCAGGAGGACACCTCGGCTGGGAAGGTCCTTCCTGAGGACTGAGGGGTCCCCGTCCCACACCAGGTGCCCTGCTCAGGGTTCCAGTGCCAGGAAGAGAATCCCCATCACTTCTGGCTGGAAAACCAGCGGGAACTGAGGCTCAGAGAAGCTGACGCCGCTGGAGCCCCAGGCAGCTCCTTAAAGGGCCCGCGCACGAACTTGTCGGACTCTCTCCCTCTGAGCTTGGAGGGGAGGCAGCTCGAGGGGCACCAGAGACATCCAGGGAAGAACTGAGCTGTTTGGCACTGGAGCGAGCGCTGGAGAGGGGGCTTTCTCCAGGACAAACGTGCTGTCAGAGGTCTTTGTTCCTTTGGTGAGCCCTTCCCT